TTTAAGTTTATGAGAACTTTGAAGAAATACATTTACTATTTTCTACTCATTTTCAATTGGGTTTTGTGTCTTTGCATGTTCTAATAGAAACTCTTTGTCTCTTGTTTATGAATATTTCCCCCCTTTATAATTATTCATGTGTTCTCTAGTGCTGTTTTTTTTTTTAATTTCAATTAACCATTTAACTTTTAACCACACTAATTCATAAGACTGTTTTGGGTTGGGGAAATATAATTTCTTATTGTTATAGTATGTATGTAGTATCTTAAAAATGTAAGAAGCGAATTCAGACTCCTCTTTTAAATACATCCAGCATTTAGACTGTGTATTTGTTTGTATTAGTCAAATCTACTGTAATTGTGGTATGTAATAATGATGATATTTGCCTTTCTTCCAGATTTTTAAAGAAGTTGCTTAGCTATACTAAGTATCACAGTATCTGTTACTTCGTGGTAGGCATTTTTGTATGGTGCTGATAAAATCCCTTTTTAGCATTTTCAATTTTCATTATACCCTGAATATTACTAGATTTTTTTCAGACATCTATTAAAACTATAAGGTTTTGCTAATTTGTTTTATGAATAGGATGGCAGTTTTCTCAATTAAAAAGTCATTCACTTCCTAGGATAAATCCCCTTTGGTTTGGTGTTATTGAGTTCAATCTGTTTAGTGTTTTTTTGTGTATGATTTTTATATCTGTTTTCATAAGTGAGATTAGTTTTCCTTTTTAGTATGCTATAAGTGTATGAATCATTTATTGGATTATGATGTTGTACACAAAAATTGGATATCATTTTATTCGTTTTTATATTTTATGAAGTTTGGGAACATTTGAAAATTTAACTGCTATAATTTTAGACCTGTATATTTTGTTGAAGGTGAAATTTTTGAAAATGCTAAGAAGTTTACCACAATCAGATATAATGTAAATTATTTTAATAAAACCCCAACATAAATTATTTAGAATATAAAATAACATGTTCATGTAGGAATCTTTGTGTTAATAATATATTGTGCAAATAATAGCCACGTTGTGGGAAAATAAGCAAAAAACATTGATTGAAAGGGAAAAAATCCTGTGTGCCTACTACATAGATATAACTGTTTGATACATATAGTATTCCATATGATTTGTGTAATTTGTAAGTTTTCTTACATTACACTTTTTCCTAAATTTTCACCCTACCTTCTTTTTACAAAATAATTGCCTAGTGCCAAGAAAATCCTAGAAGAATTCTTCTTGCCCCTCATTTCCTTTTATTGAGGTTTATTTATTTATTTATTTTTATTTTTTGGTTGGTCATGGGGCCTGGACTCTGGGCCTGGGCGCTATCTCTCAGCCCTTCAGCTCAAAGTTACTGCTCTACCACTTGAACCACAGTGCCACTTCTGGCTTTTTCTGCTTATGTGGTACTGAGGAATCGAACCCAGGGCCTCGTGCATGCAGTGTAGTCGCTCTACCACTGAGCCATCTTCCCAGTCCCTGTTCTGTTTTTTAAAATGTAGTTTAACTACTGGAATGAGGTGTCTCATTCCTGGAGTCCTGGCTACTTAGTGGGCAAGAATCAAGAGCATTGCGGTTTGATGCCAGCCTCCGTGAAAAAAATGTGGGATTCCATCTTAACTAATTAACCTGCGCATGGTACTAAATAAGAAATCAGCCTAAATAAGAGGATCACAGACCCAAGCAGTCAGACTATCAAAAAATTCTAAATCAAAAAGGATTCAGGAAGTAGCTCAAGTCATAAAGTGCATGCCTGGTAAACACAAGGTCCTGAGTTCAAACCCAAGCACCACTAAAGCAACCACAGAAATGTGGTTTATGTTTTTTCTTCTCTCTACCATTATTTTTCAGAGATTCTTTATTCAGTTACAACTAGGTTCAATTGATTTTTTTTTAATAACTTGGTGGAGCTTTATTGAGTAAGGTAGCGGACAAGCAGACAGATGAGAGGAAAGGCAGGGGAACACTCTAACGGAGTGTGGGTACTCTCTTTAACAGAGTGTGGGTACTCTCTTTAACAGAGTGTGGGTACTCTCTTTAACAGAGTGTGGGTACTCTCAAAGGGAAAGAGACGTCTAACTGATTTTTTTAAACTAATATTTTTATTATCGTTAAGTAGTTTTACAAGAGAGTTGTCATTGACTGAGGCAGTTTATGAATACAGCGTGTCTTGACCAGTGTCGCCCCTTTCAACATTCTCACCTATCTCTTACAACCTACACTTTCCCTTACTTAATTTTAGATTATGTATTGAATTTGTTTTAATTTACCAAAGCAGTTTATATGTACAGTGCATCTTGATGTGTATCATCCTTTCCAAATCTTCACCCCTCTTCAACTCACCCCTTCCTTTATTTTTCTCAACTCTATGGTATATACAGTGAATTCTTGCCTGCATTCTCCCCTTTCTTCCACTTCATACTTCTACCCCTCTCTTCCTGGCCCCACCTTTCCCTCTTGCAAGTACCTATTTCTGGTTCTTATTTTGTTGGGCTTTGACTTAGTCTTTTTTTTTAAATCTCCCACTTACCCTCCCTATCCCTGCCACCAAGTTGTAATGTTCATATGTCACATAATGCCAAGTTGAGTGTCAGTGTTGCTGTGGTTCATACCTTTTCCTGCTGTTTCTGTGATTCCCTTTCCCTTCCACATATTGCATTGTTTATTATGCAAAACATATATGACCTAGCAATCCCACTTCCAGGAATTTACCCAAATGACCACAAGGCCACACTAAAGCCACCAGTACGATGATGTTCATTGCAGCATTATATACCATAGCCAAGATATGGAACCAACCCAAATGTCCCTCAGTAGATGAATGAATCAAGAAAATGAGGTACATATACACAATGGAATTCTTTGCTTCCATCAGAAAGAATAACACTGTTCTATTCATAAGGAAATGGAAAGACTTGGAAAAAATTGTATTAAGTGAAGTAAACCAGACCCAAAGAAAAGTAGATCGCATGATTTCCCTCATTTGTAAGAACTAGAATATGTATATGATATTCTTAGAGCATAGGACTATATATAGTGAAGCTTACTAACATGAACTCCAACTTATGGAAACAGGAGGTTCTCATTAGACTCTGTATATAGTTTGTTCTTCTCTCTCTCTCTCTTTCTTTCTTTTTCTTTCTTTCTCTTTGTTTTTTGTACCTTGTGTTTTGCATAACTGACTTAGTCTTTTTAAAGAATTATACTATTTACACTCTCCACAGAATCTATTACACTTCAGATAATTCATTTCTAACCCCTTGCTTACCACCTAGTGTGTTTCATTGTAGATTTATATGTGGAAAGATAACTGATGATGTCAGTATTGCTAAGTTATGTGGATACTGACCTCTGTAACATCACTGAAGCCTTGAAGTTGATATGTTGATTCTCCTTTTTCTTCATCTTCTTCCATCATTATCATCATCATCATGGTGTCACTGGAGTTTGAACTCAGGGCCTGCCTGACAGCCTGCCTATCATTCTTGCTGGGCTTTCTTGCTTATAGTTGAAGCTCTACCACTTAGCCATGCCTCCAACCTGGCATTTTGTTGTTTAATTGGAAATAAAGTCTCATAGACTTCTATCTATACTGGGTTTGAACTGGATCCTCCAAGTCACAACCTTCTGAGTAGCTAGGATTATTAAGTGTGAGACACTAGCACCTGCCTGATATTCATCTTCTTGTAATCTTACTAAGCCTTGTCATTTGGGTTAACACATAATCTCTTTTGTTTTATAACTTAATTTTGATATACTTTCAAACTTACTAAAGGTTCTATGATAGTAATTGATAAGAACACTTGTATAAGCCTAAATACAGATTCACATGTGCATTTTTCTGAATTGCCAAATCTATAGCACCATAAAAAGTAAAACTTCTAAGCAGAGTTCAGTATTTCTGTCCATTTTTGAGAGTGATTGATTTTATAATTATTCACCTGAAATGCAGAAATCTTATAACTAAACTTCTTTGTGCTTGGACTTTATTTTTTTTTTTTTAAATTTTCACTCCATATTCTTGGCCTTCTGTGATCCTGATTTTCCTTTTCAGTTTTCTTTGTTTCCTTTCTGTCTTTCTGTTATTTCTTAGCCTTTGTTTTACGCAGATCTTTATTTTTTCCCCTGCGGTTTGCCTTATTTAGTGTGATATCTATTTGAATGTTAGTCTCTATAACTAGAGTCAAGATCAAGGTTAACTCATTTTTGTTTTCCCGAGGCCTTTCATAATTTTAGGTATATGGAAATGCTAAATCAGGGTTTGAATGAAAAAAAACACACACTTATGTCAGTGTTTAAGTTATAAGTAGAGGTCTTATTTTTATGATCCTCAGTAATTAATAAAGGACCAGAGTTACATAATGTTAGATGGATAATCTTACCTCATTAACTAAACCATGCATTTTTTTCTCATTTTATCCTCTCTTGAACAAATATATCTTTAGTTGTTGAAAGAAAGCACTAGCTTTCTGTCCTGAGACTTAATGAAATATGGTAAATAGTTGTTTTGGTCTGTTTTATCACTGTATGACACCGTAAGGGCTTTTGTAATTTTTTTTAAGATGTAAGAAGCAGGCTGAAAAAAAATCCTTCATGTTAGGATTATGAAGGATAAGTTGAAATGACAGAACAGTAAATTAAGTTTCCAGATTGCCCAACCCCACAGAGCTGTTAGATCAGAGGATCTGAGGTTAGGCCCTGATTCTCTCTCTCTCTCTTCTCCACTGAATAGTGTACCTTGATAGTAGCTATAGAGTGCTTAATTCAAGTCTAACTAAACATGAGTGAGCATTCAACCTGTCTTGGTAACCTGCAGTGTCAGAATCCTTTATATCAGGGTGTCTCATTGAGAATACTTTGCAAAGGGTAATTCTGAGGTGATCTTTTATCTTCTGATCCAGGGGACCATAGAACTCTGGTGCATCTGAATGTATTGCACCTTGTCTTTATTATGCCTATTAATTTTAAAAATAACATTTGTTTTCTTTGTCAACAGGAGTGAAACCTCGGTCTGGGTGGTCCATTGACCCCTTTGGACATTCACCAACAATGGCTTACCTTCTCAATCGTGCTGGGTTTTCACACATGCTTATCCAGAGAGTTCATTATGCTGTTAAAAAACACTTTGCATTCCATAAAACATTGGAGTTTTTTTGGAGACAGAATTGGGGTATGTTGTGTTTGATGGATGCTGAAGATTCCACTTTACTTTGATGTCATAAAGGTTGTGAATTCAAACCCTTGGGGTTTTTATTTGGAGTGTTAGTCTTGAAAATCAGATTGCCTAAAACTACCTACAATTATTTTCCAAGGTATTTGTGTCAGATTCTGTTCAGCAGTGGTGTTGATGTTTATCTCTATAGAGTCTTTTTTATGCCTGAAGTTAAGTAAGTAAATATAAGGGGTTAGTGTTATATGAATAATGATTCCACTTCTGTTTGAAAAGTATGTTTTGCCACAAAGTTGAACACACATTAGAACTTACAAGGACCTGATTGATTCATATGCAGCTGGTGTATCCTCCTCCTGTCCATCTGCATTATGTAAGAATTCCTGGGTAAGAATTCCTCCTTTGGGAAGCGTCCACATATCACATGCATCACTGGTTGGCACTCGATTCTGTAGATACATGTGTGTTCCAGTGGTGCACTTCTGCATGACTTTATTGAGGAGAAGGGATAGGGTTTATTCCTTCTGAGATACTTTGCCTTTGCCAATCCCAATTTAATCCAGAACACTTTATTTTTATTTATCAAGCCATTCCTTGTTACATGCTTTATAATTTCTCATTTAGCATTTCTACTGTCCTTCAAATTAGCTTCTATATTTTCCCTTTCTTTGGTGAAGCAATGAAGTCTTAGATATGTGAAGCCATTTTTGAAAATTCAGTTTGAATCTTGTATGCAAGTTCCTGAATCCCAGACTCCCAACTCCATTGAATCTTTAGTAAGATTTCATTAGAAAAAATGTTAGGCAATTGCTAAGTTACATGGTGCCTGCTTTCCTATGAGATCCACCCTGCTTAGGTGTTTCAGAAAAATGATTTGGAACCTAGATAATAATGGTCTTATAGGAAGTTTTTTAAGGAAGCAATTGCCTATGAGATCTTTTCACTGCAGAAAACTAAACCAGTAGGGGAGACAGCACCTTGGAGGGGGGTGATCAGATGCAAAGGATGCAAGGAATTTATTAATTTGAAAAACAAAAGACTGTCAGAAGAAATCCTACATAAATAATTGTGCACATTCAAATTGCCTATAAATATTAATTGGCCAGAAATTTTAGTACTTTGATGTATTTAATACTGTGTTGGGAAGGAATATAGAAAGTATTCTTTTATGCATATGGAAATTATAGTCTTAACTTGATAGAATACAGACATAACTAAATGTAATTACATCTCTAAATGAACAGTTAAATAGTAGGTTGAGAGGAAAGTGTAAGAAGGAAGGAGGGAGTTACCACTGGATCTGGGGCTTATACAGTCAGCTTGTGTGTACACTGTAGTCATTAGAGCTGCATCTTTTGTCGTGGTTGTTGTTGTTGGTCATGGGGCTTGAACCTGGGGTCTGGGCACAGTCTCTAAGCTCTTTTGTTCAAGGCTAGCCCTCTAGTTCTCCCACTTTTAGTCACAGCACATTTCTGATTTTCTGGTGGTTAATTGGAGATAAGAATTTCACGGACTTTCCTGCTTGGGCTGGCTTTGAACTGCGATCCTCAGATCTCAGCCTTCTGAGTGGCTAGGATTACAGGCGTGAGCTGTAACTGTATCTTTGTAGTCATGCTTACCAGTATGCTTCAGTGAAACTTCTGCCTGCCCAGAAATATACAGGTTTTAAATGTTTAAAAGAATGTACCAAAGAAGTGTTAATTATTTCAACTAAGGGGTTAAAAGTAATATGTTAAGAATTCTCTGAGATATTTGAATATGTACTTAAAAATTTTTTTATGTGCTGTCCCTGGGTCTTGAACTCAATGTCTAGGTGCTGTTCTTGAGCTTTTGTGCTAAAGGCTAATGCTCTACCACTTTAAACCACAGCTCCGTTTACAGCTTTTTTTGGTAGTTAATTGAAGATAAACATCTCATGGACTTTCCTGCTTGGGTTGGCTTTGAGCCACCATCCTCTGATCTCAGTCTCTTGAGTAACTAGGATTACAAGAGTGAGCCACCAATGTCCAGTTTTTTAAAAAATGTTTGGTTATTAGGAAATGTTTGGATATTTAGTAAATGTTTGGATATTTGGAAATGTTGGGTTTTGGATTCTTTTTGTTTTTGTTATAAAAGTAATACTCACCCATTGTTAAAAGTCAGAAATCCACACATACATAGACATGGGGAGGTGTTTAAAAGTCAGGATCTCACACACAAGAGTAACCACTTTTCATACTACTTAGGGCTCGGCATAGGCTTCTGATCTCACCAGGCAGTGGCTTCATGTCAACACTGAGGTTTTCATTGAAAGCAGTTCTCTATCAACTCATCATTGCTGGCTTCCATAACTTGCTTGTTTACATTATACTTGACAATTGCTTTTTCTTTTTCTGTACTTATTTCTTGGTGACAATTCATGTTGACTCATTCTTGATGACTGTCAGAAGTAACTCCATGAACTTTTTCTGTGTTGCACTTTCCCTCTTCAGAGCAAGAAAGCAAATAGACATTTGTCCAGTGTTTATAGTCCCTAGTCCTTTGTTCCTTCAGTTCTCCCTTTTACTCCCTAATTCTCTCTTCACTCAGCCTTTGTCATTCAAGTAACAGCCTCAGTACTCCCTGCAGTGGGATCAGATGTGGCAGGATCTGCCAGACATCAGTGGACATGGTCATGATTTAATATGAAGCAGTTGTAACTTTTCCTTCTGCTCAGTTTGTGTCCTTCCATATCAGCAGATGCTGTGCCATTGTGGGGCATATCTATCTGTACTATATTTAGATAGAAAAGGTAAACAGAATCTGAAATGTGTATCTTCCTTCACACTGGGACATATGTCCTGATAAAGGGGCTGTTGATTTTGAGTAGAGCTCGCATTGTATGTATGTATAATGTAATGGCATTTTGGATAGCTTGGGGAAATAAATCGTGTAAACACAGGTTTGTCTGTTGGCTTTTTATTTTAGATCTGGGTTCTGTCACAGACATTTTTTGCCACATGATGCCCTTCTACAGCTATGACATCCCCCACACCTGTGGACCTGATCCTAAAATATGCTGCCAGTTTGATTTTAAACGGCTTCCTGGAGGCAGATACGGTTGTCCTTGGGGAGTCCCCCCAGAAGCAATATCTTCTGACAATGTCCAGAGCAGGTATGAAAATACGTTATTTTATAAGCAACCATTCAACTGTGAGTTGCTTAAGGGTAGAGTAAGTGGGTTTCAGTAGCAGCATTACTCTTGTTGTGAGTATTCATTTAGACTAGATCCAAAGCACCTTAAAAAATGCCACATTCTCCACTGTACCTCTTTTGTGTTATAATTTAATAGAATATGAACAATGGCAGATCAATATACAGTGGCCACCTATAATACACTATCATTACCATCTCCTGTGCCCTCATTATAAAAGCTTTCTACTGTGTTTGATTGATTTCATACACTTTTGTTGATAATAAAACTTCTGGTCCCCATTGTCCAAATTGGTAAGAAAAGCAGCTCAACTGCAAAAAAACCATTTATTGAAATGGAGCACATAAAGACTGCAATTATCTGTGCCCTTAATAACAATTGCAGTAATAGCGAATGCCGCCCAGCTCTGGTGAATACGTATCTTTGCATCATTCTGATGTTTTTGACTTACAGAAAACCTTAATTAGGAATATTTATGCTTATATATATTTAAATAAAAATCAAAGGATGAATCTCTTTTTTTGAAGAAAATTGTACTTAAATAATTTCATTAAATCAAGTTGTGTACTATTACTAATTTTGGTGCTTTTTAAGTTTAATTTCTTTATTGAAAAATTAGAGATACAGGGCTGGGAAGGTGGCTCAGTGGTAGAGTGCTTGCCTTGCATGCATGAGGCCCTGGGTTTGATTCCTCAGCACCACATAAGCAAAAAGAAAAAAAGCCAGAAGTGGTGCTGTGGCTCAAGTGGTAGAGCACTAGCCTTGAGCTGAAGAGCTGAGGGACAGCGCCCAGGCCCAGAGTTCAGGCACCACGAGCGGACCCAAAAAAAAAATTAGAAGTACATAATGCATTAAAATAAAACATTCTGTTGTTATATAGAAAAATAGCATTCTGCTAGGAAAATAATATAACCTTTTAATTAATTAAGATCTGTGCACTATCAACTCTGTGTATCAGAATATTGCTTTAAAAATATATGTGAGGAAGAAAGTAAGGCTGGATCTTTTTACCTTGATGTTATGACTTTATGTTCAATAAACCTGTAATCAATAAATCCCACTGTGCACCTCTCAGTGTGTTAGACACCAAAGTATTTTAGCATTCCAGCCCTCTGGAAGGTATGAGATGTCCTTTACAAAATCTAGCTTCAATCAAGCACCAGTGGCTCATACCTGTAATCCTAACTACTTAGGATGCTGAGATCTGAAAGTCACAGACAGAAGCCAGCTTTGGCAGGCAAATGTTGAGGCTCTCATCTCCAATTAACTACCAGAAAAACAAGAACTAGAGCTGTGGCTCAAGTCATAGAGTACTAGCTTTGAGCAATAAGGTCAGGATAGCGCCTAGGCCCTGAGTTCAAGCCCCAGGACTACCTCATGTGTGTGTGTGTGTGTGTGTGTGTGTGTGCGTGTGTATGCATACGTGCATGCGCACGCGCACACACACACACACACAATCTGGCTTTATAGTTGTTTTGGAAAATTGTGTAACTTTAGAGATTGATGTGATTCAATATTATGGCTCCTACAGCCATGAAAACAATTGAGAAACTCTTAGCAACCTGCTCTCTAGTGTCAAGCTTCTCAGGTATAAAGGACAAGCTTGTATTTTATGTACTCGAAGTTGTAGTAAAAAAGAATGGCAGAGTATATGACCTGTCTATTTGAACAAGTAGTTGTGTTCACAGATATTTATACCACTCCTTTCATTTCAAATGGTGGTAGTTGGGGCTACCATGTAATTAGCTGGATGTTTCAGTTGAAGAATTGTGATATACCCATAAGTATGCAAAACCCTTATTCTCTATGGGTATTGCTCAGAGTACCAAAGGTGCATTATTGGATTAAAATGCCATTCTGTGTAATCCTTTTGTTGTCTAACCTCCAGGAACATACCTTGTGCTTGTTCACTTTCACTGGTTCTAATGGTGGTTTCCAGGCATCTGGGTACATTTGGGTGAAAGACCCTGTGTAACACTTGTATAAATTGTTTTTCTAACTTATTACAAGTCTTGGACTGCTTGTTTCACATCCAGAAATTATTTATATATATATACATATGTATATATGCAGATGACATATTTTGATATATCCAGTTCAGTGGTGATAGTTTTTTGATATACTCTGTCAACAATTTACAAATAAGGAAATAGAGTACTTCATTAAGTTTATTTTTTTTTTGGTCCAGGATCATAGTGGATTGGGCTTTTGCCATTGAGTAGCAGATAATTTGATATTTGAAGGACTTTGTTGTTGATGGTCATGGTTAGAGTTTACATTTTTTACCTGATAGGGTAAGTGAGGAGTAAATTGTGCTGGTGAGCAAGTCATCTATCATTTATTAATTCAGCTTATACTTAGTGAGAATCTACTATATGCTGGTATTACTGGACAGTGGTTTTTGCCTTCCTAGTGTTGATAATTTCTGAGGAGGAGTTTAAGAGTTCACTAGATGTCAGATTTTAAAAAGCACAGGCAGTAGAGTGCGTGTACTTTCTTTTCTCCAAAGCACAGATGCACAAGTGCCCGTACATGTGCGGGTGCACACACGTGCGCGCGCGCACACACACACACACACACAAGCTTTGATATAAACTGACTTTTTTACTCTTATTTTGGTAGTTTATTTTTATGTGATAAATCTCATTTATGTGTGTGATATTGTAAGTGATATTGTAAAGTTAGTGTTGAGTAAATGTGAAATGTTATTAAATTAAGAGAAAAGATGAAATATTCTACTCAAGAAAACTCCAGGCTCAGATGTAGCTTAGTCAGTGGCAAAATGCTTGCCTAGAAAATCATTGTCCTGGGTTTGATTCCCAGTATTAAAAAAGAAAAAAGAAAAAGACAAACACTGTCACTACATGAATGTGAAAATTTAACATTTGCAAGGCAACTTCAGAGATTAAATATTTTTTTTTTGGGTCCGGTCATGGGGCCTGAACTCTGGGCCTGGGCGCTGTCCCTCAGCTCTTCAGCTTAAGGCTAACGCTCTACCACTTGAGCCACAGCATCACTTCTGGCTTCTTTCTTTTTGCTTATGTGGTGCTGAGGAATCGAACCCAGGGCCTCATGCATGCAAGGCAAGCACTCTACCACTGAGCCACCTTCCCAGCCCCCAGAGATTAAATTTTTAAAAGACCGTATGGAGTTTTAAAATATCATTAACTAATTTTTCATAATTTTTATAAAACACCTGTTTCTGTTAGCATTTGTATGATTTATGAGTTGAAATTTGGATAATCCTTGAAATAAAAATTAGAATGTTAGGTAAAAAATATGATTTCTTAAGCGTGGGCCCTCTAAACCCTGTGGATTGCTCTAGGTTCATCTGTTCATTTAATTTCACTTTCAGAAGTGTTTCCTCTTAGTTTTTGTTACCAGACCTCCTTCAGACAGTTCCCAACTTAGCTTTCCCAAAAGGATTTTTTACAGAATGCCAAACATGAAGCATCAAAGCTGTTCTTTGTATCTGCAAGTTATGTTTGGTCTTTTGAGTCATGGATAGAGCCCAAGGAAAGAGAAAACAAAGTAGCTAATTTAACTCTAGAGTGTTATCTGCTGATCAGTATTGAAAGAGAAAATCGTGAAGATCATCAGATAATTGGTGACAGATGTTAAGTGAGTTGGTGTTTTTCCCTTGGAAAATGAAATATTATTGTGGGTATAAAATGTTATAAGTTAAGATCTTTTGATCATGTACCTTTTCCTATTTAATTAGGCTATTAATTTTTTTTTTTAAATTGGAGAAAGGAATAGTAAAGCAAATCAAATTTCCAAGTTGGTGTAGATGAAAATCCTTTTGTCTTCTTGGACTAATTTATCTTAAAACATGGGCTCTTCATGATCTAGTTATTTTGGTTGGGTTTCAGGAAGACACTGGTGTCCTAGTCACTTGGTTGTTGTTTCTTTAAGGGTAATCCATTGGAAAACTATCGGCTTTTTTTTTCTTATCAAAAGAATTTGTGACTATTTAAATTGGATAATGTCTGGTAGTCAAAAATTGGCCTTATAAGTTTTACTTGTTTTTTTTTTTTACTTTTTTATTTAGGAAAAAAATTCTCTATTTTAATAATAATTAATTAATTAATTTAATAAACAATTTCTCTGAATTTATTTAAAAGATAAATGATTTTTCCAAATTCATTGCTGCATTATATCATTAACATCTCCTTAATATAACCCATTTCTCCCCTCCCCGTTTTTTGTAGGGCTCGGATGCTGCTAGATCAGTACCGAAAGAAGTCAAAACTTTTCCGCACCAAAGTTCTTTTGGCCCCACTGGGAGATGATTTTCGCTATAGTGAATACACAGAATGGGATCTTCAGTTCAGGAATTATGAACAGCTTTTCAATTATATGAATTCGCATCCTCAGTTTAAAGTAAAGGTAATAAGATAATATTTATTTATAATACCATGTTTGACTCTGAGTCTTCATTATGAAGAGTCTAGAACATGCTATCCATCATTTCCTTGTCTGAATCCTAGTTTTAGAATATGTCATAAGTATAAAGTATAATTAATTAGAAAAAACATCACATCCTGTAGTCAAACTTCTAAAGTTAAACATTTCTTACCACTTCTTGGGAGTGAATGAGGCTTTTGCTTTTTTTTTTTCAGTTCAAAATGTGTGTCTACTAAGTTGTGCTTTTCAGGGAAATCTAGTTTTTCTGCCACCATTGGAAATTTATTGTTTTCCTCTGAGAATTCTTTCCTTCTGACTTTTGTAGTTTGGCAGTCTCAAATAAACATTCCATGAATTTTACAAACATTTTGTGTCTTTTTCTTAAGTTAGAAGACCTCTAAAATTAAGCATTTACTTGTTTCTTACTTTTTATATGAAAATTTTTATGCAAATTTTATATCTCCCAAAGTTTTGAGATACCATACATAACCTCATTCTCTTCATAACCTATGGCTCAGCTTCCAAATCTTTTCTTTAAGCAAAAAAAGTCATTTTTATTGGGATGAAAGATACATTTTAAACATGTTTATTGTATAATTTGGTGGTATCAGGTGCACTATAATGATAATCACTACCAATTTCCATAACATTTACATCTCCCAAACTGCAAATCTCCCTAGCCCCTGATAACTCTTACTTTTTCCTTAGCTCATTTTTAATTGCTATATTTCATTTCTTTCTTTTTTCTAATTTTTTTTATTGTGAAAATACTGTACAGAGAGGTTACATTTACATCAGCAAGGAATGAGTACATTTCTTAGCAAGCATTGTTGGCTCCTCCTTTGTTTTTCCCCTACCATCCCTTCCCTCCCACCTCCAAAACTCTACTCTTCCCCCCACCACACCCTTCCCCTGCCCCCCGCCCCCCCCCCCGCGCCTAAATTGTAAAGTTCATTTTTCAACATACTGTCTTGTACATCTAATTGTTACAATGGGTCAACCTGTATCTCTATTTAAACATTTTGTTTTTCCCTTCCCCTCCCCAAATTATACCAATATCAAATACAGTGAAAACAGGGGTTATAGCATAGGGGAGGGACATACAAAGCAACAAAAAAAATCACATGGTTGGTACCTTATACATTAGAAACAATAGCAAGAAAGAAAAAAACCATTTGTGTCCCTATCTTGGGGTTCATTTCGGTTAATTTCATCTTATCTGGTCAGATGTACGTAGCATTTGACCTCTTCTGCTTGTCCCAGACATATACTAGGTATTGCAGATAAGGGAAACCATGGGACCTATGTTTCTTTGGGCCTGGCTTACTTCACTTAATATAATTTTTTCCAAGTCTTTCTATTTCCTAACAAATAGGGCAATGTCATTCTTTCTGATGGAGGCATAGAATTCCATTGTGTGTGTGTGTATGTGTGTGTGTGTGTGTGTGTGTGTGTGTGTGTGTGTGTGTGTATGTGTGTGTGTATATATATGTATATATATATGTATATACATCACATTTTCTTGATCCATTCATCTACTGAAGGGCATCTGGGTTGGTTCTGTATCTTAGCTATGGTAAATAATGCTGCAATATACATAGTTGTGCTAGTAGCTTTAGTATGTTCATGTTTGTGATCATTTGGGTAAATGCCCAAAAGTGGGATTGCTGGGTCATTGGGGAACTCTATTTGGAGTCTTTTGAGGAACCTCCATACTGCTTTCCAAAGTGGTTGAACAAGTTTACACTGCCACCAACAATGCAGTAGGGTTCCCTTCTGGCCACATCCCCTCCAGCATCTGTTGTTATTAGAGTTCTTGATTCTGGCCATTCTAACTGAGGTGAGATAGTATCTCAGTATTGTTTTGATTTGCATTTCTTTTATGGCTAGGGAGGTTGAGCATTTCTTCATGTGTCTGTTGGCCATTCATATTTCCTCTTCAGAGAAGTCTCTCTTTAAGTTTTTAGCCCACTTATTTATCAAGCAGTTGTTTCTTTGAGGATTTGTTGTTGGGGGATTTAATTTTTTGAGTTCCAAGTTTATTTTAGCTATGAGACCCTTGTCCATTGTATGGCTAGTGAAGATCTTCTCCCAGTCCGTGGGCTTTCTGTTGATCTTGCTAGCTATGTCCTTTGCCATGCAGAAGCTCTGCAGCTTCATGCAATTCCATTTGTCCAACCTTCTTTTGATTTGTTGTGTTTCTGGTTCTCTATTAAGAAAATTTTGGCCTGTGCCAAGGAGTCCTAGGGTTTCTCCTATTCCATCCTGTAATGTTTTCAGGGTGACTGCTTTGACTCAGAGGTCTTTGATCCATTTGGAGTTGATTCTGGTTCAGGGTGATATATAAGGATCTAGCTTTAGTTTTCTACAGGTGATTAATCAATTTTGCCATCAGCTCCCAAATCTTTAAGCCAAGACCACCGTTGTTTAAGAGGTGTTCCCCTGCTCTCTTCCTATGATCATTTAGCAGCAGATCTCAGATGTCATATAGTTATGTCTGTAATGTTTTCAGAGGATATCTCTAAATGGTAAAGGTTCTGTCTAGTATTTATATTTTATGCTAGTATATAGTAATATAATAATTATAAATAATTATAGTTATCATTATAATATATAATAGAGTTATATACTGGTTATTTAAATAATTAGTTAAAAGAACTCTTAATTTGAGTAGTTGCTATTCTTGTCATACTTAATGTTTTAGTTTACTCATTACAGGAAAAGTGTACTTTTTAAATGAATTGTTATTCTTAAAAAGTCTCTTACAAAAACTCAAACTAGAGGTCTTTTAGGTTGCATGCAACTTTTTTTTTTTAATATATAGCTTCTATTCTACATACGTTTCATTCATCTGTGTCCAGGTCTTTGAACATTTTAAGTTCTAAAGGTATATATGGGATTTTCCTGTTCACATATTTGTAGAACTAAGTAGTACTCCTTCTAACTGCTTAGGTTCTATATGTTTTCTCTTAGTTATATTAAATTCAACTAAAAGAAAGTGTTGCTGCTATTTTCCCCCCTGCAGTTTATGCTCATTTGAAGTTATAGGCACAACTTAAATATTTATTATTAAATTTTCCTTTTCATGTGATAAATAAAACATTATAGGGCAGAAATTAATATAAATTGTAAGTTTTTATTCTTTTTTTTACTAGATACAGTTTGGAACGTTATCAGACTATTTTGATGCACTGGATAAAGCAGCTGCAACTGAGAGAAAGAAAGATCCATCCATGTTCCCTGTTCTAAGTGGAGACTTCTTCACATATGCCGACAGAGATGATCATTACTGGAGTGGCTACTTTACATCTAGACCCTTTTACAAACGAATGGACAGAATTATGGAATCCCACTTAAGGTACATTTACCTGGAAATAGAGACATTTCTCTGTTCACTTTTTCCATATAGCCTTTACCTAGAGATGTATACGATACATTCTTTATCTAGTGCTATGGTAGACTTAAAGTAATAATGAAATGCTGATACAATCAGGAATAGCTCTCCAAAATATAATCAAATTATAACATGAGACTTTTTATTCTAAAATTCTGGAAGGAAGGAGGAAGAATCACTTAATCAATTAGATTTCTTTTTGTATTTGTATTCTCTGTTTTGTGTCTTTATAATTAATTCACCTATTTTTTTGAATGGCTGGAATACTAGAAAGGTTTCAAGAAAGTGTTAGGGCTTCCACAACCAGGAGTTACCTTCACATGCACTCTCCAAAACTGCCTTGTATGCATGGGAGAACTTTAAAGACTCATCTCCTTTCTGTTTGAGGCATACTTGTGTAGGTATGATTTTTCTGCTTAGAAGAGATGAGAATTGAAGATGCAGGCAGAATGATTGGCTAAAGAAGTAAGTTTATTCAGAGGAAATAGACTAGTCAATAGGAACTCTAACAACATTAATAGAGTACAGGTTAATAGAACTTCCTCCTGTCCAATAGAACTTTGTACGGTAATCAGTTATGTTTCTGTATGGTCTAGTATGATATCTGTAACTATTGGATACTTGAAAGGTGACTACTTGAAAGAACTGATTTCTTCATTCCTGTTGATGTTTTTAGTTTGTATTGAGATTTGAACTCAGGGTCTTGTCCTGCTGAACTAACAATCTAATGCTTGACTCACTCCTTCAGCATGATTTTTAGCTGGTTATTTTGGAGATGTAGCCTCTATGACCTTTCTGACCCAGCTGGTTTGCAGAGTAGCTAGGATGTGTGAGCCACTGGCACTGTGCTACACTTTATATACTTTTAATCAATTTAAGTGTCAGTAGCTGTGTAGCTAGTAGCAATAATATTGAGGAGGATGATTCTAACAAACTGAATCAAATAGCGTTTTTTTTTTCTTTTTTCTTTTTGTGAAGATGAATTACCCTATAGACTACTAAGACTTGAAAGTAGATAATACTTTAAAGTAAAATGCTTTATTTATATGCCAAACCTTGGTATTGAAAAACAAATTAGATTGTACCAACCCCCTTTTATATACTAGTGGATTCTGAGTACATGATAGAAAGGCTTTTTATAAAATATAGAATTTCTTAAAGTATTTGTGGTATGAAAGCAAAGTATATTTTACCATATTTATTATGGAATCGCTTTCATATATTATAGAGACTCATGCATAAAATGGTCAATTATTATGTTAATCTAAACTTTTTGCGATAAAATGGAATAACTGCTAAATACTGTAGACATAACTTCATCCATTGGATTTGTGATTTTTAAGTGTTAGGTATTTTCCAGTGGCAGTGTATCCTAATTTATCCAACATATATGAGGCATATTGTCTATAGCTGGGGGTCTATTTAGAAAATCCTTATATATTTAAGCCAAAAAGAAAGGTTATACAATAGTTTGGTATTTTCCAATGTATTCATTTATTTGAAACTGTTTCTAGTCTGAAAATAGTAACGTCACCCTCATTTAAAAATCTGAATAAAAGTAAAAAAGTATAAAGAATAAAACAATTTTAAGATCGATTAAATAATTTGAGATTCTTACAGGATGAATTTTTATTTTCAAAACCATGGATGCATATGGAAGATTATTTATTGTCTTTTATTTACTTCCACAACTTAGAGAAATTCATTACTTTAAAACCAAAACAAAATAAAATACTATCAATATCTCATTTTCCTGAATCTTGAATTATCTTAAAGCTGCCTTGGTTTTTCTCCATTTTTTTTCCTCTCCATGTGTTTGACAGGTTGAACGTTCTCATCCATTGGATTCCAGCCATATGCTGGTTTTTTTCCCCTCTTTCATTTTTAGTGAATTTTCAGCTGTTGATTAGTGTACATTGAGAATAATAAGTGCATGATATTTTCATGTGCATATAATGTTCTTTGATAACATTTACCTCTTATCCTCCTCCTCTATCTTCTCGTTTCTTCCTACTACCACTCTTCCTTTTTTCCAATAATCCCCTTCTACTTTCTTGTTACATGTGTTTTGTTTTTTTTTTTAAACTGCTTACTAAACCTTCCTTGAACCATCTCTTCTGGTAAAACAAACAACAACAACAAAAACCCTATAAATCCTAAGCCCTATTCGTAGATGTTCAAAGCTATTCTTAGATGAAGAGTCTTTTTTAAACAAAGGAGAAGTTACATCATGTTAATCATTTTTCATCTGTTTCTGTACTTGTGTGTGTCCCTGTGATATTCTCTGCCTCTCATTGTCTGCCTCTCCCCTACTTAGCCTCCAACTCTCATGGCTTTACCGTCTTCCTCTTAATGTCCAGGTCTGAGAGGAAGTGGCCTTCAGGCGATGTTCCTGGTGTACATCCTTGCTGCTTAGAGAACAGGGAAGACAGAGACTCTTTTCCAATTCTTATTGCTATGTTCAAAGTTTATTTTATTGTGCTGTATATAAATAAATTCTATGTTGCCAATGGGTGTCCAATGTCATGAGAACTTCAATACATTAGATGGAAATACCTTGATGACTTTTTAGAAAATTTCATTATTAGTAATTCTTGTATAAATTGTATTGATTTTTTTTTTTAAAAAGGAAATCAGTGTCATATATTTTAGGCTATATGGGAACAATGTATGTTTTTGAAATAAATTTATGTACTTTCTTATGCCGTTAGGACTGCTGAAATCCTTTACTATATTGCCCTGAAGCAAGCTCAGAAATACAAGATAAATAAGTTCCTATCATCCACATACTACACGTCACTAACAGAAGCCAGAAGGAATCTGGGACTGTTTCAGCATCATGATGCAATCACTGGGACTGCAAAAGATTGGGTAGTTGTGGATTATGGTACCAGGTAATGTAACTGTAGAAAAAGACTATTTTTATACGTAAGATTATGCTAAGTGTTTTGATACATAAGATTGCATCTATCTTGAAATGAAGCTGTTAATATATGTCAGTATACGTTATCAATGATAGTCCTTCTAATTCAGCAAAACCAACAACTTTCAGTTTTACTTTTCACGAAATTTGTTGTTGCATTCTAGTTGCCTCAACTTTTTCTCATACTGTCTTTTTCAAATAGAGTAGCAGAATATTATATAGCTGATTTTATTTTCCCCTAAGGATAGCTTGAAAATTGGGTCGTCTTCTTTATCAAGGATTTGACATCAAATCATAGCTAGAATTCAGGAAGATTTAGCCCACTTTCATGGACAGCAGTTCTGTTATTTAGATGTTCTTGGATATGTAAATTATTCAAGGGACCTTCACAGGAAAAAGTGAGGGAAGAAGAGCATAGCTAGGAAACAGAAAGATCTAGAAAGCAAGTCAGGTACAGATGATATACACAGCTGGGAATGAAGAGAGTGTCTTCATTATTGATATCAAAGCCATCTTTCTCACTGAAGACCCATCAGACAAGTGAAGGCGTGAAAGCTCAGTTATTTTATTGTATTTTTTTTGGCTGGTCTGGTGAGCTTGAATTCAGGACCTGGGCCCTTCCCTTAGCCTCTTTGTGCTCTAGGCTACTGCTCTACCTCTTGAGCCACAGCACCTCTTCTAGCTTTTTCTGAATAGTTTATTATAGATAAGTCTCATGGACTTTCTTACCTGGGCTGGCTTCAAACTGTGATCTTCAGACCTCAGCCTCCTGAGGTGTGAGCCACAGGTACCTGGCTGGTTATTTTTATATTAAAAATTAGACACAGTGAACACATGCTTTGCTTGAGAAAGAGTGAGGACTTAGTAAACAATGCTTCCTAATAATGGAAAATCAGATTTGTGTAAAGGAGAGATCACTATCTTGCCAGAGTGAGGCTGGCTGTGCATTAGCTTCAGTGCAGAGTGGATTCCTGCATTATTTCCTGTAATTGCCACCATTATTTCTTCTAGATTCTCTTTCTGTCAGTGTTTTGCCTGGACTGTGCTCAGTGGTGGAGTGTTTGCCTGCCATGAATGAGGCCCTGGATTTGAGTTCCAAGGCTAAAAAAACAAAAACAAACAAAAACAAAAAAACGAACCAAACCAAAACTAGTTGTATGCGTTGAGGATACTTGGAAAATCATTAAAAGTGTATTGTAATTTTCTCCTTAAAAAAAAAGTTACTCCTATATGTAGAAAAAAAGATTCTAGAGCCGGGAGCCAGTGGCTCATGCCTGTAATCCTAGCTACTCAGGAGGCTGAGATCTGAGGATTACGGTTCAAAGCCAGCCCAGGCAGGAAACTCCGTGAGACTCTTATCTCTAATAAACCACTAGAAAACCGTAAGTGGTGCTGTGGCTGAAGCAGTTGAGTGCTCACCCTGAGCTGAAGAGCTCAGGGATAGTGCCCAAGCCCAGAGTTCAAGCCCCACGACTGACCCCCCCCCCCAAAAAAAAAAAGTCTCTACAGTGTACATAAAAATCAACATTAAAAATATGAATCACAAGGGACACTGCTAACTATTACATTTTTACTTGTAATATTTTGACTAGTGTTCTAGAAATGATGTGGAAAAAAAGATGTTTTTGAGGTTCCACTCTAGCCTGCAATATTTCAAAAATATATTTAATGTAATAATCTTGAATATTTTCTCGGTTTTCTGTGGAAAATATACTTTCCTTATTGTATTCTGTCTGTTGAGGTTGGGCTTAAAGTAAAACAGACATGATTGATGTAATGTTGGTATTCCTCCCAAAGAAAGCATTTTTCTTTTTGGGTGGTTCTGGGTTTTGTGCTTGCTGAATAGGTGTTCTGCCACATGAACCTCAACCCCAACCTCTTTTGCTTTAGTTATTTTCTGAGTAGAGTCTGTGTATGTGCTCAGGTCAGCTTGCACTGGGACTGTCAAGGTGTTCTGTGTTGCTGGCATAACAAGTGCATGCCACCACAACCAGCAATTGGTTTAGACAAGAACTCATGAATGTTTTTTGTCCAGTTGACCTTGAAGTAAAATCCTTCTGATTTCAATCTCCCAATAGGAAAAAACTTTTTTTTTAAGTGAGCTATAGTCTCTTGTTTTCTGTTTTTACTGGCTCCTTGCCTTCTTGGTTTTATGAGAGTTCAGAAATAAGGTGATGCCAGAGGACTTGAGATTCTTTTATACTGTTTACTTGCTCTTTCTGACTATCATATTAAAGAGATTTGGGTATAGACATTGAGCTTTTGTTACAGGACAATTTGTGCTTCATGGCTTTTCCAGAAAGTCTGTCATTAATTTCTCAATATATTTTGTACTGCTTTCAGTTTACAAAGCCAGCCCTATTACAGAACTGCATGTTAGAGGGGGGAAAAAAAAAAGATATAGTAATTTTCAAATTGTATTTGACATTTGTAAATTTGCTTTGTGAGTATTTCACACTTCAGTTGAAAAGCTGTAAACAATTATCAAGTCATTAACACAGATATTTTAAGGAGGAAATTTCAAAACACAAGTTGTAGAATTATAAACAAGGAGGTAGTTAATGTTGGGTATTGTCTGGTGCTTCAACTACTGTTCATTCAGATGTTGACAGAAATGTTCTTGTGAGTGAAGGTAGGCACCATGACTCACATCTGTAATCCTGGCAACTCAGGGGACTAAGATTGAGAAGATCAAAGTTCAAGATCAGTCAGTCAGTCCAGGCAAAACAGTCTTCATTCTCAACCAACAGATGGGTATCGTGGTCTGTGCCTGTCATCCTACCTGTGTGAGAGGCTGAGATCAGGACCATCCCTGTTTGGAATAGCACCGGCAAAAATGTTTGCAGTTATTGAGGAGAGACTAGTGTTTGAGTTAAGAGGTTGCATTTCTCCCTGTTGGTAAGAGCAATCCCAAATGGAACAAGTCCACTCCTGTAATTTATGTCCTTTGAAAGAAATCTTCAGGTAACCAGGTCAGTTATGAGAGTCCACAGTATCCAGGTACCCAGGCCTTCCAACTTTTTCCTCTGCAATCATAGGGCTATTCTGAGGGTCACACTCTTCACCTTGAATGTGTATGGAATTACAAGCTGTAGAGCAAAAATACCTTGTGACATGTCTGGAGGCTAACTCTAATCATGGCATGAGAAAATGAATTAGACTGTTTGTAATGGACATATACCTTAAAGGTACCTCATGGGGCTTATATGAGAGGGAAGAAGAAATGATAATGCGGTCCATTATGGAAAGGTTTTAGACTTCTGCCAGCTATTTCTAAGTTGCCATTAGTGAAAAAAGCCGAACAGAAGGTGAGCATAAAGTCCTAACATAAAAATCAAACTAATGAAGGAAGATATGATACCATTTGTTTAAACAAACAAACAAATGACAGCAAACCAGGACTGTGATTGCTCAGTGACTCTCCCTGAACTCTGTGTGCTCTGTATTCATGGGACAAATGAAGGTTAAGATACTTCAGGCTCTGAGAAATCCATGTGAATGAAATGTTTAAACACATGTGAATGAAATGTTTAAACACTTAAAATTTTGTTATACCCAATAATTGTCAAATTTATTTACCATGTTTTTGTTAATGCTTTTGATGGTGACGGTGGTAGTGTTCTTTTGTGCTAGTGCTGGTACTGTGGCTTGAACTTGGCCTTGTGCTCTTACTTGAATCCTTTACTCTCACTATCATTTAATCTATGCCTATAGTTGTGGCTTTTTTGCTAGTTAATTGAGCTAAGGGTCTTGAGAATTATCTGCCTGGGGTAGCTTTGAACTATGATCTTCAAATCTCATCCTCCTGAGTAACTAGTATTACAGATGTGAGCTGCCACCACTTCATGTTTCATTGTTTTATTGTATTTTAGTGTATTTGTATGATAGATTTTTTTGATACCGGGGTTTAAACTCAGGGCCTTGCACTAGTTAGGCAGTCACTCTTATCGTTTTCAGCCCTTATTTGTCTTATTTTTTGAGTAGGGTTTTATGTTTTTGCCCAGACCAGCATCAAAGTATAATCTTCCTGCCTATTACTTCTCACATAGCTAGGATTACAGATGTGAGCCACCATTGATAGCTTGTTTTTTGCTATGGAAGGGGGAAGGGAAATCCTCTCAACTGGCCATACTGGCCCTGAATTTTAATCCTGCCAATCTCCACCTGCTGAATATGAGCCAGCACTCCCAGTCATAACAGCATTATACAGCCTGAGAAAGATCTTGATTGAATGTGGTGCTGCAGTTGTTAGTGCTCATTTCATCAAGGCTGCATGTGTGTTGTTAGGATGTAGACACTGATCTGTGGCATTCACCTCATTAATTGAGACTGTTCAATGCACTGCGATTCACGGGAAGTTTTAGCTACTGGAGAACATATTCTTCACATTGATGCTGCCTACTAAGGGTCACCATGTAGATAGTAGAAACAAACTGACTGAATTTGGTAATGAAACTGTGTTTGGGCTTTCAGTTTTTTAGTCTCATGAACACATTTATCGTTATGGGAAAATATCTGGATATACTAAAACTTTTGGCTGGATGATGGTGTGAACTTAATAACATTTTGGTATTGAAGTTACAGTTTGTTATGTAAATGTAGTTTATTGATTGTGAACCCTTATGTCTTTAAAGCATAGTGCTTTGTGAGAAAAAGTCATTTCTAATTGTTTCACAGGTGCTTTTGTTTTGTTTCAATGACAGCAAAAAATATCTCTAAGGCATAGAACTCAAGTTGCTCCCTGTGGTCGAGAAAAATCATGTGATGATTCTCTTTAAAATAATAGATTCACAGGTGAATTAAAGAAAATAATGAGGTTTATCTATAGATTTCTATGTTATGAATTACAGATGTTTGGGCTGTATAGTCTTAAAGAAACATAATAGTATGCAATCATTGTATCATAGAATATTCACTACATATTTCCCATCAACAATTTCTCAGAGTTCTAAAGGTTATTCAACCTGAGCTAAGATGTTAAATTTACTGATAACTGTTACATTGGCCAGTAAGCAAGGGTACAATATTATTTCATACTTATTGCCATAAACTGATTTCACAATCTAAATATAATATTTCATGTGATGGTTCATCAGGTAAAGGCAGCATAGTGTAAAACAGTTCTGATAGAAGTTTATAAAAGTTGGTCATGTCCAGTATTTAACATGGGAAATTCCATTAGCCTTGAGAATTCGGGCATGATTTAGAGGCCAGTAAATAAAATACTATATAAATTAATAAAAAGAAATTTGATTGGATTTGAAAATAAATAAGGAATTTCTTTTCAATGTGTAGTGCTTCATCAGTAGCTGATTGTGAATCAGTAGATTCTTAACCATCCTTCTGGCTCATTCGTTAAAACCACAGTTGGAAATTTGAGTATAGCTAGTAATTTCAATGACAAGGATGAAGACAAGCAAGGATGAAGACAACTTCATTACCCAAATCTGTGAAAACATCTTGTTTCTAGTTCTCTTGAAGAGGAAAATGAAACCAAATTCAATAAAATACCACCTTTAAGTTTTAGAGAATGGCTTATGGACTGACTTAAATTTCTCAGAGTGTATGTTCTGTTTTCTCCTGCTGTTATATTAACCTTTTTGGACAATATTTCTGAAACAAAGGAGCAAAAATTGCTTTGTGATGGAATGAATTCCAGTGGTTTGACTGATTATCGTGGATATTATTATTTGGTGTGATATTTGTAGAAAGTATAAGCATTTTGAATAAAATTTTGATTTTTAAGTATATCCCAAAAGTTTTTTTTAAGAAAAGAATCCTTATCTATCTGTATGTATACACACTTTAAAAAAAAATACATATATATGTATAAATTTCTAAGGCCTGAACTCAATATGTGGGCACTGTTCTTTAGCTTTGTGTGTGTGTGTGTGTATGTGTGTGTGTTTGTGTGTGTGTGTCTAAGGCTAATGCTCTACCACTTGAGCCACAGTTATACTCTGGTTTTTGTTGCTGGTTAATTGGAGGGAAGAGTCTCATAAACTTTCCTGCCTAAGCTGGCTTTAAACCATGATCCTCAGATATCAGCCTCCTAGGTAGTTTGGATTATCTCTTTTTTTTTTTTTAAACCATACTCAGAAATATTTAGTTGTGGAGATGAATTGGGTGAGTTCCTTACAGATTCATTATAAATTTCACTTTGTGACTATAAGATGAAGGTGTTAGTAGTTTGACTGTTACTTAAAAAAAACAATTTGGGAATATTGTCTGTAGATTTTTGAATTCTCAAGTTAATAACTTTTTTAACTTGCAGGCTTTTTCAATCTTTAATTGCTTTGGAGAAGATAATTGGAGACTCTGCATTTCTTCTTCTTTTGAAGGACAAAAACATGTACAAGTCTTACTCTTCTGATACAGTCCTAGAAATGGTAAGTTGGGCCCTTTTATAATTGCCGTAAAATGTATGTTCTGTTATTGAACTGGAAAACATGATGTGACATTTCATTAAAAGAGATATGAAAAAAAAATGATTATTTTGTGCATAACTTGAGAGGTTTGTTATGTTGTTATTGCAGGTTCTAGGGCTTGACCTCAAGGCCCGAGTATGACCTCAAGGCCCGAGTAGGGTCCTTGAGACTTTTTGCTAAAGGCTAGCTTCTACTGCTCCACTTCAGTTTTTTAGTGGTTAATTGGAGATAGAGTATCACAGACTTTCTTGCCTAACTGGCTTTAAACTGTGATCCTTAGATCTCAGCCTCCTGAATACTGGGGATTACAGACAAGAGCTACCTAGTGCTTGGCCTCCTTGAAAGAATTTTTTATCCCTTTATGTAAATTGTCTTCCTATTCATCTTTTCTAGAAGTATGTCTACATTTGATTTCTTATGTGAATTGTGTTCTAAGTTTTAGTTTGAAAAATAATACAGTGAACGTACATTAAGACAGGTAAAATAGGCATTAGAACACTTGCAAGGCAACTGAGCATTGAAATTAAGAATATTCTGCTTGGCTTTAATTAGACATGTTTTGATATTTTCATTTTGTTTGCATTCTTGGTCTGTTTATGTTAAACCTGAATTCAGGTCACCTGGTTTCAGGGTAAATCCATGGAGTGTTACAGGAGGAGCTGAAATGAATGCCAAACAAATAGAGCAATGTGAAAAGGATTAGGAATCTAGTTATCTGTCTCATCTCTGCTCCTCATTGTATGAGTCTTTAAAAAGTCACTTAGGATCTATGGATTTGAATTCATTTATCTATAAAATGGAATGGTCATGTCTACCTTACCTGTACACTTGCTGTTCAGCTCAGAAGAGCTCAAGTAGCAAAGTATTTTTTAATATATATTTTTTATTGTAAAGATACTGTACAGACGGGTTACAGTTATGTGAGCAAGGTAGAGAGTCCATTTCCTATTGAGCATTGTTATACCCTTCTTTATTTTTCCCCTACCATCCCTTTTCTCCTTACCTCCCCAGCTCCTCCCTCCCCTCCCTGCAAAGTTGTAAAATTCATTTTCAACATAGTGTCTTATACTTCTCATTGTTACACTGGGTCATCCTGTATCCTTATTTCAGCATTTTGTTATTTCCCTTCCCCTCCCAGATTAGAAAAATGTATATATAAGATGCAGGATATCCGAATCAAATACAGTGACAACAGGGGTTGTACCATGGGGGAAGAACATATAAAGAAACAAAGAAAATCACATAGTACATTATAAGTATATTAAAAAGAACAGCAACAAAGATAAAACCTCTTGTGTCCCTATCTTGGGGTTCTTTTTGCTCAGCATCAGGCTATTTGGTCATATGTACATAGCTTTTGACCTCTTCTGCTTTTCCTAGACATATATTAGTTATAGCAGATAAGGGAAACCTTGGGACCTATGTTTCTTTGAGTCTGGCTTACTTCACTTAATATAATATTTTCCAAGTCTATTTTCTAACAAATGGAGCAGTGTCATTCTTTCTGATGGAGGCATAGAATTCCATTACGTATGTGTGTGTGTGTGTGTGTGTGTGTGTGTGTGTGTGTGTGTATACATATATATGTATATGCATACATATATATGTATATATGCCACATTTTCTTGATCCATTCATCTGAGGGGCATCTGGATTGGTTCCATATCTTATCTATTGTAAATAATTCTTTGATAAACATGGTTTTGCTGGTAGCTTTAGCCTTGTTTGTGATCTTTGAGTAAATTCCTGAAAGTGGGATTGCTGGGTCATAGGGGAGCTCTATGTGGAGTCTTTTGAGGAATCTTCTTACTACTTTCCAAAGTGGTCGAACAAGTTTACACTCCCACCAACAATGCAGTAGGGTTCCCTTTTGGCCACATCCTCTCCAGCATCTGTTGTTAGGAGATTTCTTGATTCTAGCCATTCTAACTGGGGTGAGGTGGTATGTCAGTGTTGTTTTGATTTGCATTTCTTTTATGGCTAGGGAGGTTGAGCTTTTCTTCATATACCTATTGGCCATTCTTAATTCCTCTTCAGAGAAGTCTCTCTTTAAGTCTTTAGCCCACTTATTAATCGGGGGATTGTTTCTTTGAGGATTTGTTGTTGGGGATTTAATTTTTTGAGTTCTAAGTATATTTTAGATATGAGAGCCTTGTCTGTTTTATGGCTAGTGAAGATCTTTTCCCAGTCCGTGGGCTTTCTATTGATCTTAGCAAAGTATTTTGAAAGGAACAGCAGTTCAAAAAAATGGGTGAGTGCAACCTCTTTACAATTCCACCCTGCAACTCCAAAGTTTTTCTTTTGTAAATTAGGACCTAGTTATCTTTAGAGTATTTTATGAATGCTAGGATTTATTTTTTATGTAACTTAAATTTACATATCTGAAATGAGAAATATAGTTTCAATACTTTCAGAATGATGCTTGTAATCAAGTTATGATTATAAATGTTCAAGTAGAAAAAAAGACAAGAAATGGACTTAGATTTCCTAAAGATATTAAATATAAGGCACAAGTAACATAGTAAAACTACTAGCAAAATTGTCTTAGAACTGTGATTTATGTGGTTCCAAAATGGAATGCCCATGATGGTAATGCATGTTTAGCTTGAGTTACACTTAAGCACATTTGTGCACACACAAACACAGGCCCACATGTATTCACACACACTTTCAGTGGCTTGTTTGCTTTGAATTTTGATGTACTTGATTTGGGAAGTGGGTTTTTTTAATTTCATATTTTGTACTTTCAAGATTTTTGCAAAGTAGCATTGCAGAGCTAATTTTTATGTTTGTTTTCCAATTAAAATAAAATATTATACTTCATTCTTGTAGGATTCACAGCAAAAGTCACAAGATTCCCTGCCAGCAAAAAATATTATAGAGCTGAGTACAAGTGAACCCAGGTAAGTTTGTAATTTTATTGAAAACTTACGTGCCTGGCTTAGTTTTCTTGGTTTTCACCATACTTGTCCTTATTCAGCATATATTTGGAGGCAGTATTTCATTTAGTTTATTATTTGATTTGATGTGAATTTTCTGAAGAAACATTTTCTTCAAATATCAGTCATATTCAGTGATGGTAATTTGATACATCACCGAATTTAATATTATAACAATTATACTGTTACAATAATTAGGTATTATTATAAGAATTAGTATTTTTCATAAGCTATGGCATTGATAAATATATAGCTAATGACTAAAAACAAATCACTTACCTTTTATAACTTTTAGATGGCATTTGTTCTTAGCTAATCTTTCATATAGCTACCTGGTGGTTTTGTTTTTGTTTTGTTTTTTTGTCGATCGTGGGGCTTGAACTCTGGGCTTGGGTGCTGTCCCTGCACTCTTCATCTCAAAGCGAGTGCTCTGCTGCTTGAGCCACAGCACCACTTCCGGTTTTCTAGTGGTTTATTGGAGATAAGAGTCTCAGGGACTTTGCTGCCCGGGCTGGCTTTGAACCGTGATCCTCAGATCTCAGCCTCCTGAGTAGCTAGGATTACAGGCATGAGCCACCGGCACCCAGCTACCTGGTGGTTTTTTAAAATTAGTCCTCAATTCTGGTTGTTGTTTTTTTGTCGTCGTGGGGCCTGAACCCTGGGCCTGGGTGCTGTCTCTCAGCTCTTCGGTGCTCTTCCACTTGAGCCATAGAGCCACTTCCAGCCTTTTCTGCTTATGTGGTGCTGAGGAATAGATCCCAGGGCCTCATGCATGCAGGGCAAGCACTCTACCACTGAACTACCTTTCCAGCCCAATTCTGTTTTTTTTTTTAAAATATATAGTTTTTATTATTATTGTAAAGGTGATGTACAGAGGGGTTAACGTTATATAAGTCAGGTAATGAGTACACTTCCTTCTTTTTTCTTTACTTATAACACTCTTTAGTCTTTTATGGTGTTTGGTCTTTTTTTTTTAATTTAATTTTATTGTAAAGATGCTGTACAGAGGGGTTACAGTTACATGAGTAAGGCAATGAGTACATTTCTTCTCGAGCATTGTTACCCTTTCCCTTGTTGTTCTCCCACTATTCCTTCCCTCCTCCACCTCCCTCACTCCCACCCCCCCACCAAAAAGTTGTGAAGTTCATTTCTAGTATAGTGTCTTGTGGGTATCATTGTTGCAATGGGTCATCCTGTGTCCTTGTTTCAGTGTTTTGTTCTTCCCCTTCCCCTCCACAAATTAGATAAATGTATATGCAAGATACAGGGTGCCAAAATCAGTGTCAACAGGGGATATACCATAAGGGGCTGAACATACAAAGGAAACAAAAACATCACATAGTATGTTAAAAAAAAGCAATAACAACAAAGAAAGACCTTTTACATTGCCACTCTTTTCCCTTGCTCTCTTCCAGTTTTTCTATCCTGTCCCTACCTGTAAGTTATGTAGTTCATTTTCAACATAATGTCTAAAGAGCGTCACTGCTGTACTTGTTCAATCTTTGTCTTGCCCTCTCTGCCCCACCTCTCAAAAACAGATAATCTTACAAACAAAAGGCACAGAAAGCAAAAACAGCAACAAAGGAAAAAATAAAAACCCCCAAAACCCCTCTTATTGCCATCTCTTCATGTTCATTTTGATAAATATTATTTTATATGATCATGTATGCATAGCTGTTGAGCCTTTGTGAGCCTTTCCTCTGATTTTTCTTTGGTTTCACTGTGTGAAAGTTTAGGGACCTGTATAATTTATCATGTCTTTTACCATCCAGTAGATGTAGATTTTTAGACACATTCTAGTTATCACCAATGAGGGAAAACATGCAGTCTAGAGTAAAAGAGTAACATAAATATTATTAACTGATTAAAACCCCTCCTGTAGATTGTTCACTAATGCTGGAGCTGGACAGGTCAGGGGACAAGATGCATTTCCTTTGGTTTTTCTCCTTTCTTACTGTTCCAGCCTCAAACTGCAATGATGGATTATTTAGTCTTGCTTATACTAGATGAAGAAAGCCAGAAAATGTAGGTAGGTGTGACAGTAGAAGAAAAACAGGTTTTGAACTTCAATATTAAAAGATTTCAAGTGCAGGTATGCATAAAGAGAATTTTAAAGCTATTAGTAAAATGTTTACCTCTTGATGTTGTTTTAAAGCAGTTTGTTTTTAAATGTTTTCTTTTACTGTTATTTCTTTACAGTCAGTTTTATTTTACTGTTATTTCTTTACAGTCAGTTTTAATAAAATATCAATGTGACTATTTGCCTAGATTAGTAAATTAAGGATACTTCTGAATGTCAGATTTGATTTTTATGTTTATTATCCATTTTGAACTTCACAGCTTCATAAATATTTATTTTGGGTTGAAACAATATACATATATATATATATATATATATATATATTTTTTTTTTTTTTTTTTGTATTTTATCTACTGATTACCTTACTGATCTCTCCATAAAACCAGTGACCAAGCCGGGTGCCGGTGGCTCACTCCTGTAATCCTAGCTACTGAGGAGGCTGAGATCTGAGGATCACGATTCAAAGCCAGCCCTGGCAGGAAAGTCCGTGAAACTCTTATCTCCAATAAACCACTAGAAAACGAGAAGTGGCACTGTGGCTCAAGCGGTAGAGCGCTTGCCTTGAGCTGAAGAGCACAGGGATAGTGCCCAAACCCAGAGTTCAAGCCCCACGACTGACAAAAACAAAAACAAAACAACAAAAAAGTGACCAATAAAGGGAGTATAGTGACCTTTAAAAAACGGAACAATTTGAGAGTTTTACTTAGCAGATCCTGAGAGTGAAATTGCTATTTTCAGTCCTTAAAGTGAAACTTCTAAAAGTATGGCTGTGGATTTGTCTCACATTCTTTATCAATCTTCTGTGGTATTCTAGGGGTTAGCTTTATTTTAATTATAATTCCTTTTTTAATAACAAATTATTAATCTAAATAAGGTATGTATTAACAATGGGGAACATAACCCTCCACAGGAGGGTAAATTTGGTTCTTAGGGGATTTGAAAAAAATATCATTAATATACAAAGCACAGACTTAGTACCTAGTAGTAGACAGTTTATATGTGGTATTATCATGGTATGAGAGGATTATTAGAAAATAAATGTCTAAAGAGAGTCCTCAGGGAGATGTTAATATAAAAAAGGCTTGAGAAATAGTGATCTAAACTAAATTTAAATAATACACATAAGTGAATTTTTTTTTGCTGTTGGCAGTTCATTATTGCTATAGCCTAACACAATTTAGTTTGTGACTGTTTAGAAAGTAATGTGTAATCTGCTGAAAGTGACATTAGAACATGTTGCTCTAACTCATTTAGGTCATACAAGGTTATTTGGGCAAAACTATATGTAGATTTAGGTTTTGCATAGAGAGTCAGTACAGTTAGGTGTTAAAGAATATTGTGATGTATTCATATTATTCAATGTACACATGTAAAAACAGAACCAGGCAAATTGAGGGGGGATGGGTTTGGAGAGATGGGGAAGACATTTATCAAGATTTGTTGTACTTATATATTGACATGTTGAATTGTAACCTTTCTGTAGTACCATTTAATGGTAATAAAAATGAAAAAAAAATAACTGAAAGGAAATAATTACCAAGGAAATGTACTCATTACCTTACTCATGCAACTGTTACCTCTCTGTACAGTATCTTTAAAATAAAGAAGGGCTGGGAAGGTGGCTCAGTGGTAGAGCACTTGCCTTGCATGCTCAAGGCCCTGGGTTCGATTCCTCAGCACCACATAAGCAAAAAGAAAAAAGCCGGAAGTGGCGCTGTGGCTCAAGTGATAGAGCGCTAGCTTTGAGCTGAAGAGCTGAGGGACAGTGCCCAGGCCCAGAGTTCAGGCCCCAGGACCGGACCCAAAAAAAAAAAAAGAATATATATGGAAAAAGTAAAACATAGTAAAAGAAACTTAATAAAAAGACAAAAGAAGTAAGGACTCAGAAAACACTGGAATAGAAAGACTTACAAGAAAAGTAAGGGCTCAGAAAACACTGGTTATGTAAAGTAACAGTCTCAGACCAGTGGAGAATTGGGTATTCTTTCAGTGTTTTATCTAACCAGGAAGGACAAGAATATTTACCATTTCATGGACCATGAAGTCACGTGGCTCAATTGTTGGTAAAGAATGTTTTTCCTGTAAGGTGAAGAAGTATATGTTAAAATTGAGATTGAGGTAATCTATATAAACCTGAAAAAGTTTTTTTAAATTTTTAATAGAAAGTTTGTCTTCGTTCATTATGTTCATGTAATAGAATTCTAGACTGGGTAATTTGTAATAAACAGAAATGTATTTGGCTGTTAGATTGGAGGCTGCAAAGTCTAGGGTGGAAAGACTTTACCTGGGGAAGATTTCTTACTATCATCCCTGGGGGAACATGGGATGTCATCAGAGCCTAGGGTGGGTGGGAGGGGAGCTCATGGGAGCCTACTCTTAGAATGCCTTCCTATTCATAACAACAAAATTGATCCATTCATGAGGACAGAGCCCTTATTGCATAATCACCTTTTAGAGAGCTGATCTCTCAATACTGTTATATTGTGGATTACATTTCTAATGCAGGAAATTACATTTCTAACATAGCAAACTTTTACAGTTTTGAGCGCAGTTTATGTAGATTATTACAAATGTAAATTCTTTAAAATTTTTAGTAGACAATTAAATTTAAATTTTAACAAGTAAACCTCTCTCTCTGTCTCTGTCTCTCTGTCTCTCTATCTCTTTCTTTTTGTCAGTTATGGGACCTGAACTATAGGCCTGTGCACTGTTCCTCAGCCCTTCAGTTCAAGGCTAGCACTCTACCACTTGAGCCACAGCTCCACTTCTGGCTTTTTTTGCTTATGTGGTGCTGAGGAATCCTACCCAGGGCCTCATGCATGCAAACCAAGCACTCTACCACTGAGCCACCTTCCCAACCCCCTCTCTTTTTCTTTTATGTGCA